ACGAGAAATTCATAGAGGCACTGTTATCCGCAGGTATCCGCGCTCTCATGCTCGCTCCTCAGCCACTTTTTATATTGTATTGACTTTGAACGCCGCAAAATATCGGATAGCTTACTAAATTGATGTTTATCCCCACATGTATCTTTATAATTGGTACGTGGCGTCAAGTGAAGATACGCATGTATGTATACGTATGAACAAATTCTTCAGAACTGAACACATTGCTATGGACGAATCAGACGTCACACATTGATGGAAAAGGCTCTCCGTGAACCTGCGTGAACTAAATAACGACTTGGACATTGGAGTGATTCCCGGGTATGTATTCTAATTGGAAACACAGAACACAAGACATAATAAAACTTCAATTCCCAGTCAATCCCCCCGGGGACGCCTGGATTGCTCATTCAGTTGTTTGACACGACCATGAGCTTCAGAAATTTCACTGGGTCACTCTGTCAATTTTTGGAACCAACCCTCGGCCAGGTGTGAGGTCTGGGTGCCTTTTTATTTCCATGTAGAAGAAATTTATAAAAAAACGGGGCACTCTTTGATTTTTTTGGTCGATTCCTCGGTGCCACATGTAAAAAAATGCTGATTACCCCTGATACATACATATCGACTATGCGGAACACCCTTTGTGTGGATTTTCCCGATGAAGTACCGTCGTACCGATGCTTAAGTCCGTCGGGTAGTACCGCGGAAATCATAGTAAATTTGAACTTTAAAGGCACACGCCGAAACTATGGGGCAGCCGTGTTGGAAGACGTCCTCGAGAATAAAGTTCACTTGCGTGAAAATGGCGACTGAGGGCCATGAACATGGAGAGTTCGGCATCGAAAATTTGCTGCTGGGAACATGAGTCACTGGGTGTGTGTGGGAATCTTGTGTCACCACTCTGTGACTTGTGATCTGTAACAGGCCAAACCTCAAATCAACCCTTCTTCAGTTCTCCCGACCGTTCAGCTCACAGAGCTGATTTTGGAGGCATCGTGTGTACTTTCACTGGAAACGAATGAAAGAAAGAGCACTTACTGCGGGTTTTGGTATTGGTCTTCGGTGGTCGGGTGGGCCTGGCCCAGACCGCTACCTACCGAACAAAGTCTAATGCCATTAGTTGTCGATACAACCTTGTTGGCATTTGCATAGCCCGCTGTCATTGAAATCGATAAGAGTGTGGTTTGCAGGGGTCAAAGCCAACATTTTAGTAATCATACCCGTCTTCTTTCCTTTCCCTCATCAGTGTGGTGGGTTTTTTCTACCTGCAAATCAGAACTTTTCTTCTGACTCATTGTATATTAGCCATATATCTTTCAGCGGATCAATCATGGCTGACATGGCATTCGCCGCTATCGGAGTGACGGCAAACGCGTTTGACTTTGCGATGAAGCTTTACACACTCTTTCAGGCGGCCGTCGACTTTCCCGAGACATCAGACAAATTAATCTTACAACTCGAAATTGAAAGGGTGCGGTTTCAGTTATGGGGCGAGGCGTCTGGTTCTACCCAGGGTGAACTCTGTCCGGAGCTGGTACGATTCCAGGAGATCGTGGACAGGGTGCTCCAACGCCTGGCAAACCTATTACAGGATTCGAATAGATTGACGGAGGAATTCGGTTTGGTTGAACAGCAGGTCTCAGACCCGGGAGAGATTGATACGAAGAGATCGATTTCGTTCGTTCGTGTCAGGAATGTACTTCGTGAGGGCAATACTAGTAGCCTGGATAAGCCCGTTTCCACATTCCGTCGTATGCGTTGGGCGATATCATCGAAATCCAAATTCGAGTCACTGGTGCAAACCATTCGTGGCTTTATCACAAACCTCTGGGAACTTTTGACCGAGTCTCAGCAGGTTACTGTAGTTCATCGACTACACCGATTCAAAATCCAGGCTGTTGCTTCGTGTGACGATTCGCCAGGGTTGAGGATGTTACAAGAAGCTTCCGAAAACGACAATAACTCCCAAGACATGTTTTCGATGGCACTACGAAAGTCGATTCTCGTCTCGGAACCAAGAAACGATGACTCTGCGGTACCGAGTAATATCTCTATACGACGTCTACTTAAACAGGACTTTATTTTACCCAAAGAGATTGCACAGGTCGATTATTCAAGATGCATTGCACTCTATAATCCTCGTTACGCCTCCGGAGAGTGTAGATACGTCCTCATAGAGAAGAAACGCTACGATGCTAATACCTCTTCGGAGGACCGAGTTCACCTCCATCACCGTCTTCATCGTCTTATTATGTTGTTGAATGCAACATCTACCGATGACATACGTACCGCTTTACCTCAGTGTATGGGCTACTGGAGCGAACCCGAACAACACTGCTGGTATCTCGTATACCAAATGCCATTCCAAGCTCACAGCACCCTACCGCCTCTTCCTTCATGCCAGCATGCTCGCTCCGATCCCGCTGGAATCTTGTTTTCACACCCTCGCAGTTTACTCTCATACCTCCAAAGTTCCTTCAAGCCATCACTCGAATCCAGGTTCACATTGGCCAGTACTTTAGCAAACGTTCTCTCGCAGTTGTTCGGCAGCGGGTGGCTACACAAAGGAATAAGAAGTGATAACATCGTTTTCCCTCATGCGCCATCATCCCGGGCCATCAGTTCATCTAAAACTAGCAATCCGAACAAGGACCCGAAAGACACTCTAGCCTCGTACGCTTTTGACCTTTCTGGACCTCTCATTATTGGCTTTGAATACTCGAGACAATACACTGAAGCTACCAGTATAGATTACATTTCAGGAGACTTTGCGCAGGCTATCTATCGCCACCCAGACTATCAAGGCGACGTCACGAACAGAGCCGTTTATCGTATGGCCTATGACGTGTTCGCTTTTGGACTGGTTCTGGCGGAGATTGCGTGGTGGGTACCGATGGAGAAAGTACATGGAGAGCTCATGCGGAAACAACCGAACAACAGCAGCAGCAGCACCCAGAGCGGTGGCAATAGGAGTAATATCGACGGTAGTGGATTCGAGTGGAATGGGAGAAAATCGAGGGAATTCATGCAAGAGGTGCTTAAGCGGGCAAAGAAGGAGTTAGCATTTAGGGTTGGTACGGCATATCAGGAAGTTGTTGTTTGGTGTCTGAGGCGGGGAGGCTTTTTAGAAGTCGATGACGGTGAACTCGCTGGGGAATTTTACGAGAACGTCGTCATTCCATTGGAAAGTATTGCCAAGTTAAAGCTTGGGAACTGAAATGAACTTTTTTTGTTCGTTCTCTTTTTTTTTCTTTTTTGTGGGATCAAAGTTCTTGCTGTAGGTTATTTTCAGTTGACATTGTGTGGAGACATTCACTCTGTATACTGGCTTCATTTATGGAAAATCTTCATTATGAACCTGAGGATGTTAGGTACAATTGTCAGCTGTGGCGTTCCTAGGTTTCTGCGAACGTTCTTACCCCCTCGAGGCTCCTCCACCTCGCCGCTGTTCCCCAGGCTTCGGACTCAATTGTACTTTACCCTGTGTTCTCGATGGTGCTGAACGACATCAACCCTCGTCGCCGCATCGTTGTCAGTCCATGGAACCCCAATCTGATGAATGAGTAAATGGACTATTCAGTTTCTGGCTTTTCTTATCGTCCTATGACGGTCTCTGTTCGCGGAAGTATTACTGACTTCTGATGAAAAAGTTTCCTATGTCATTCATTTACAACCTTCGAGAACAGTGGACAGTGAATGTAGTCGAACGTAAGTTCTTTTATGAATGAAGTCTGGCTTGAGAGCCAGAGCAATGAATGCAAGTTTCCCCATAACACGTTCCATCATAGATCTAGAACACCACTCTTCCTTTACTACATACTTGACCAAGAGAGTCGAGCTGAAAGGTGATGTCGTCAGCTGCAATTCTATTCATGATGTTATGTTCTGAGTTCAAAGGCTCCCTTGACGTGGTTATGCTTTCTTTTAGCTCGAGTCCTCGATCTGAGGTACACTTGCACACAATCTCCGTCCCGTTCAACCGTTACCTGATCGGCATTTAGAGTAACATTGCAAGGATCCTTTGCATCGGTACCGCCTTGATTTGTATTTTTGTTCCAACACAAAAACAAAACAACTACGTCCGGAACAGCGGCCCGCTCATATCTTCCTATTCTCGTCCACGTTTAAACTTTGCGTGAGGCTTGAAGTTGAAAACTTGACTTTCGGTATGGAGTTCGAAGCTGGAGAACTTTGGACTGAGGCGTTTTTGGAGACTTGGTCCCGAATTTCAAATCCATAGAATCTGCACTTTTAAGTAAGTCTCAAATGCCTCCAAGTAGCTTGCAACCCCAGAGAGGACTTATAGGGCCCGATAAGTGAGGAGAAGAAAAGAGATTGGAGGTCCCGATAAGTCCAAATCGCAAGAATAAATATCGAGTCTCAAATCGGAAGTATCTTCCCCGGTGGTACGTATATGTGCCAATATGACCTGTTTTGAAAAACACATGTGTAGAAGATCGCCGTGATAATATGCCTGTACTTTCTCTTTTGTTTGGTCGATAACATGTACAAGAGATGAGAGTAGGCCCCCAGGCTTTTCTTGTACATCGCCGTCAATTGAGTTTCTAAGAAGCTCGTAATGAAGGCTATAATGTCGTTTAGTAATCTCCAAATCTCAACATGAGAAAGATATGCCTTGTAGAACATCGGCCACTATTGACTGTGGACTAAAAAAAAATTCATCTAGCTTTCAAAGCCCTGTGAAGTCACTATTCATTAACCATTACGAAGACTATTCACTACGAAGACTATTCCGTTAAGAGGTTATTTTCAGAGTACTTACTGATTCCGTTGGCTCGCCGCTGTCACTTCTTTCGTATTCAATGTTCTTCTCCTGCTACGAGTCGCCGCGAGTGCTATAGGGCTTCTTCGGACATTTTTGAGGAGCCATTGAGACCCTTTCTCAAACACGCAAACAAAGTACAGCATCCTCGGTGTGTAAGTTACAGGTAAAGTAATGGAAAAATTTCTCGTGTTTACACTCGACATGGCGTTTGGTTTGTGGTCCTGTAGTGTAGCGGTTATCACATGGGATTCTGACTAATGCTGTGCCGGGAATTCCCATGACCCAGGTTCGATTCCTGGCAGGACCTTTTTTCATCTCTTTTGTTTACCACCATCATGGATTCCTCCCCTCCTTCGACTTCTCCCCGTGGGCATCCGAACCTGCTCCTTCAAATTCGCACCCTCGTTTCTTGGTGCACCAACAATGGCATAGTCATTGATGGAAGGCTCCAAATCCAGCCGGAGAACGCTGCACCAGGTGTAACCGTTTTTTCATCTGAGGAATTCATTCCGTCATCCGTAACGTGTAAGAAATTTTTTGGACATTCCTTCTTTTTCGTCTGACGGTCCCAATGTTCTAACCAAGTTTGTATCTCTCGTTATCAGTGGTCAAAATTCCTAAAAGCTCCGTTTTATCGGTCAAGTCGAGCTCCGTCGCAAGCATGATCAATACTATTTCATATGGTCTTGAGGCGCAACTGGAGCTTGCCTTAGCACTGTATCTGGAAATGTAAAGAAATTTCGGACTCTTTCGTACTCAAAGTGTATTGATTGCAAACACTTTTAGAGCGAAAGGAGAATCTTCTAAATGGTACGGATATTTGCAATCTCTACCATACAAAGTCGACCTCCCTGTTTTTTGGGACTTCGAATCCGAGGATGTCGATGTCTACACTGACGGAAGAGCCGCTTTGAATTGGTTAGAGGGTACGGAAGTCCACAAAAGACTCCGTCTCTCCACTGAGGGCAAAGAAAGCGTATTGGTACAGTCATTTTTTTCTTTTGCCTGCCTTGTTATCACAAAAATAGATCTCATATTCCGTCTTTTTCTTCATCTCTTCTCGTTATTCCTGAAAAACCTTAAAGTCCATCATCAATTCCTTTTACGAAGACAAGATTGCCCCGATCTTGTCGAAATGTTTTGGGACCTTCCCTAAACCCCAATTAGACGAGTTTTATCACGCATACTCCCTCGTGTCATCTAGAGCATTTCTAGTGGACGCCTATCATGGCTTATCGATGGTACCTATTGCAGACGCGTGAGCGACTAACGTCAAAATTTTCTTCTTGAAGATCTACGGAAGTTGATCATTTGGTTTTTTTTTTAGTTTCAATCATACGACGGATAACCATGTTCACTTGGAGGTATAGAGCCCCAGATTTGCTTTTATTCTCTCACTGATAGACTGCGAACATAATAACGCAGTGACTGAACAACTTCTTTTTTTAAATTTATCAATAGAGCGAATTCGAAGTCTGTCCGGAATGTGGGTCCCTACGAGAATGTCCTCATGATCAAGATAGTTGTGATACGAACTTGCTTCAAAGTGGGAGTTCGACAGGTGCGGGTGTAGACGGGCATCGAGATGATAGGTCCAATGACACAGATCCAGATACTATAGAGGAAGACAATTGCTACGAAATGGTCTCCAACTGTGCCATAGCACCTCATTCCGAGGTGTTCAACACGTACGGCGAGACACTTAGTAACGCTCAACTCCTTGTTCAATATGGGTTCATTCTGGACGTCAATGAAAACGATCGGATTACGTGGAGTCTAGAAGAAGTGTATCAGAACGTGGTCCAGATGCTTGGGGAAGTTGATGTCTTGCCTACTACTTTGACTTTAGACTTGATACGAGCTCTATGGTCTCAGGCTGGAAAACGCTCGGACGTGCAATTCACGGGTGGCGAATCGGAACTGTTGTACTATTGTGATAGTAATTGGTCTACAACACTGACCAATGGCAACACCGACTCCTCGGACACGTTCTGCATCAACTCGGACGGAAAAGTGTCCCGACAACTTTGGATATTCTGTGCTTTGTTTCAAGTGTTTGTCATCTCGAGCAAGATTCACGATTCGAGCTTTGAGGCAGATGCGCAGTACAGGGAAGAAGCAGCAGTCGTCGTGTTGGATCTCATAAATCAAATGATAACGGCGCAGCAGAGAATTGAAGCAGACATGGAGATCCAGAACGAAGAGATGGAACTGGATGACGAGAGCCCAGCAAACTCAGAAATCGAGTCGGAAAATATTCGGAACCTCCTATCGGAGACTGCTTCGACGATTCTGCTACTTTGTCATCAGCGTTTATCAGAAATAGGACCGAAGGATATGGATATATCGACAATAGATCTCGGGAATATGCTAGACGTAAGTGCTCTTTTTTTTTTTTTCATCTCCAAAACGTCTCTGATACCATCACGAAACAAAAAAAAAATCAAGGATTTGCCCAATGATCGGCCGCGGACAAGGCTCGCTATAACGCACATCATGACAGAGATGTCCATACTAAATACCTGCATCGGTACTTGGTCGGAATTCCGTAAATTTCTTTCTGTTATGGTACCTACTACATCCACATAAGTAAAATTTTTTTCATCGATCAATAATTTTTTCTAGCCAGAACTCAAACTGTGCACCTGCTAGAGCTTGGGCCTGTTCACATAAGGATCGGACCGTACGCCGTCTACTGTCAATCCTTCAAAGCGTCCCATTCATTCCAGCTTTCATAATTCCAAACTTAATCAGCTCTCCATGTTACCAATTTGTGAGAACGGGAAGTGACAACGTTGTTCTCTCTTCACTACGTCCACCCATTATGCTGTACCCACGGATACTAGCGTCGTCTCCTCCATTTTTCGTTCTTTAGCACCTCAAAGCCTCGCGTCTGAAGCTGCTGCGATCGACGACTCGCGCTCAGGAACGACGAGGTCCTAGACTTCCTTCAGCTTCACACGATCCTTTTTTCAGGACACGCAGCAGTAGCAGCAGCAAGACACCAACCATTACGCATGCGTATTCTCAACTTGCAAAAAGGTATGTACCAATGTCTATCATTCAGCTCCTATAGAAGAGGCCGCAGCTAAGGCACAACAGTCCAATCAGTCCAATCTTCGTTAGTCAGGACCCTGCGAAGCTCCATCATCAATGTCTGAATAGTGATCGATATCTCCCCGCCCGCAGCGGGAGAAGACAGCGTATAGAGCTGATGGATGCGCAGTAGATGTCAAGCTTTCCTCTGCGCACTTAAGGTCTGCGCATTGTAGATTTCAGGTGGACCACGGGGACCCGAGTGAGTCATGTATTGTTCGTTGAGACTTTTTCGTCTGTTCTGACCGGTACCTAGAAAGCCATATTTTTTCAATATGCAGCGATCGAGTCACAGAAAAAACTACGCACATCTACTGCGTCCTTCGGAATCAATCTTTTTTTTTCTACGCTGTAAATGACAAGGACATTTTATCCCCTTTCGCCTTGGGATAACCATCTCGATGACCTCATCCCCCAATATTTGAGCCATATAAAAGCGCATGACAAGCATTTTCAGACGCATTTAACAAAATGGTTCCTGCTGCACGCAACGATCTTTTGACTAATACCTCTGACGAGGAGAAGGCGCTTTTGGAACAGCAACTTCAACAGCCATCCGTTGGAGAGTATTATGCAGCCCAACCGATACAGGCGGTATACGAAGACCGACCTAAACGCAGGGGACGACTTTTACGCGCGTTTTGTGCTGGAGTTTTGCTTTTCTTTGGGTTGAAGATGTTGGCCGGTGGAATCACGTCTCGCATTTCATCATATACCGGTGGACACTGTCATGGTCGCCCTCGACCAACCGAACCAGAAAATTGGGTGAGCACCTTGTTCTAATGACCCTCAATCTCAAATGTTAAACGCCTTTTGAGTAGTTAGGAGAATACGACCCAAACGAGATTACAGAGCCCGGCAAGTTTCCGATTCCACCTGACATGACCGTGGACCACTGTACGGACTGGCCTGATGCTGGAGAGCTAAGTGGCCCTCATGGATCAGAAGCGCTGGACAATCCAACGCATGGTCACCGTCACCACTTCCAGTCTGTCTGGAACACATTCGAGCTTCCCGTCTCCTCTGATTTACTGTTCCTGCTGTCTCGCGGTCCCTGGTCTGCCGGTAGCGTCGACATTAATCAATCAGACGAGCCTGGAGATGTTGTTCTTGTCAATGTGACCACATATTATCACCATCCCCGTCTTCTCGAACACGCACAAGTGTGTAAACTGAACCGAAAGGAGAACGAAGTTGGTGTGGGTGTATTTGTACGTCTTCTTCGTCCGCTTTTTGTGTAGGTTTTCCCTGACTTCTATTTGAAGAGCACCACTCCTCCTCGTCGGGGTCCTCATCACCATATCCCGGTTCGTTTTGGCATCAATGTCACGTTACCGAAAGGAACGAAAGACTCGCCGTTGAACATTACGTCTCTCGTTACAAGCATGGGTATCTTCCCTCACACTCTTGGAGATCTTGCTACGGCTACACGATTCGGTAATCTCTTCCTCACGTCCGCAGTGTCAGGCATCTCGGCCAAAGTCAGTCTTGCAATCTTTTCTTACTGTTTTGTTTTTCCTGCGCAATCTAATTGACTGAAATTCGTTCAGAGAGTCGTCGCGGACAATATGTTCATTAAAACATCCGCTGGACCAATTCAAGGCATTTTCGGGGCTGGCTCTAGCCTCAAGCTCCTAAACGCCAACTCCCCTATTGACGCTCACGTGAGTTTTCATTTGACTGCAACAATTTGCGAACTAGAAATAAACTGTCGCGGTAATGTAGGGTGTCTCTGGAGGAGACGTTATCGTCAAGAATGCGAATGGAGCTATTACTGGATTTTTCTTCTCGAAGACCCATCTTGATTTGACCACCGCCAACGCTTTAATTGACGTTAACGTGACGCTACTCAACGAAGACGACGAGAAGCCCACAACGGTTAGCATGAAGACAGCTCATGGGTGAGTGTTATTGACATATTCCATCCCCACTTTTACACCGTTAACCCATATGATCGTCGCTAGTCCTATCAAGGGCAATCTTTCATTAATCTCGACCGGACCTAATCACACCGACCCCACTTCTAACCCAGGTGGCTCTTTCAAAATAGAAGCGTCCAACTCTCTCGGCGCTATCACCCTCCTTACATCTCAAGCGCCTATCAACTCCACCGTCAGCCTCAATGCTAAGACGGCATTGTCACCCGTGGATGTCCAAATGCATCCTACCTTTGAAGGCAGGTTCTCTGTCAAGACCACCTTAGGCAAGAGC